TGGCGGCTCCCCCTTCCGCGGTGAGTGGGTTCACGAAAGATACGGGAAGCGAGCTTGCCATGGTGGTGTCGAGAAACAGTAAAGAATTGGTGGAGATCGTGAAAGAAGTTGACGAGTATTTTCTCAAAGCTGCTGATGCTGGTAGCCTGCTCTCGTTGCTATTAGAAGTTCCAAATCCCAATTTCCCTGCTCAAAGTAAATGACTTAAATCTCTCTCTTTCTCCTCCTTTTCTGGTTGTTTTTCATATCATCCCGGTTATTTGATTGTTCCTTGTTGTAGGTAAAGGGCATAACAATGACGCTGTTCTTAGCAGAAGCCATTCTTCTACCATAGAGAGATTGTATGCTTGGGAGAAGAAATTGTACCAAGAGGTCAAGGTATATATTTTGTTCATATGTGAAAATTATCTGATATTTTTGTAGGCAAAAGAGTGATTTTTTGTTGTTGCTGGTGATTTTGTTTAGAATGCTCAGACTACAAAGATGGAGCATGAGAAGATGGTGGTCCGGTTGAGGAAGCTGGAGTTGAAGAGAGCCGAGTATGTGAAGACCGAGAAGACTAAGAAAGAGATTGAAAAATTAGACTCCCAAATGATGGTTGCTTCACAGGCCATTAACACTGTCTCAACAGAAATCATCCAATTAAGAGAGTCTGAGCTTTATCCTCAACTCTTGGACCTTGTAAAAGGGTTAGTCTTGCTTATTTATCATTCTGCTTCGTGTACTTGGTTCCGGTTCGAGTTTTGCATCAGATGAGTAGAAAAGGCGATTTTCGGGACCCTTGATTCTTGTAATATGCATAGAAATGGATACTTATGATGTTATTTCTTTTGCTTGTTGTGCAGATTGATGTCCATGTGGAGAAGCATGTATGAGATCCACCAAGTTCACACGCACATAGTTCAGCAGCTCAAGTACCTGAACTTTATACCTCCTAACGAGCCAACGTCAGAGATTCACAGGCAATCGACTCTACAGCTGGAGTTCGAAGTCCAGCAGTGGCATTCTTCTTTCTGCAACTTAGTCAAGGCTCAACGGGACTACATTCAGTCCCTGGCAGGCTGGCTCCGGCTTAGTCTTTTCCAGTTCAGCAAAGACCCCCTTTTAAGAAACAGTGAAGAATCGAAAATTTACTCGTTCTGTGAAGGCTGGCATCTTGCTGTCGACAGAATTCCAGATAAGGTAGCATCCGAGGGAATCAAGAGCTTCTTGACCGTGATCCACACCATTGTGGTACAACAAGCAGAAGAGCACAAGCAAAAGAAGAAGGCTGATTCGACGAGTAAAGAATTCGAGAAGAAGGCAGCTGAGCTTAGATCACTTGAAAGCAAGCATGGCTCTTTTTCCATGCCTGAAAATGAGCAAATACCCGGTTACCGAAAAACGAACAAAGGTGGAAATGCTGAGAGCAAAGGCAGAGGAGGAGAAGAATAAGCACGAGAAGTCGGTGAGCGTGACGAGGGCGATGACTTTAAATAACCTCCAGATGGGGTTTCCCCATGTCTTCCAGGCGATGGTAGGGTTTTCGAGTGTATGTACGCAAGCATTTGAATCTGTCTACAACCAGGCCAAGGCCATTGGTGAGGACCATGATGTGAAGAGAATACTCCCTTGAGAAACTTACTGGAAAACAAAATGATACCACCTCCGATACTTGGTTTGGTACATTAATGCCACCTTGTTCGGAACTCGGATCAGAGTCTGGACTCTGGAGAGAAGCGATGCACAAGTGATCTTCGAGATGGCATAGGAAGTAGGAGATTTTCCGGTCAAGTAGGAATTGTATACCTTGTTCAGTTTGGTACATTAAAGCCTGCCTTTTGAATCAAGAAATCAGTTTTTACTATCATTTAATTGCTTTATACATATATTCTCGATGGATCGATCTTAAAAATTAACGAGGGGTGATTATAATAAAAACAAGTAACTTTAAGTATAATTTTAAAAAGGCAAAAAGGCAACATAGACTCCTAAACTTTTAAAAAGAACCAATGTGGCCCATATCATTTTTTATCAATGTAGCCCTCAAACTCGAAAAAATAATTCAATGTCTACCTTTGACCAACATCTTCCTTTGTTGACCAACGTCTCCGTTACTTTGTGTTGACATGGCACGTCGAACAACCCAACATCATATTTTTATCGATCAATTGACACTCCAACTCACAAAATAACTCAATGTGACCATTTGACTTTGTTTAATGTTGATATAAATGAGAATTACACAATTCATCACTCAACTATCTTCTTTCTCCCATTTTAATCATTAAACTTTAAAAGTTTTCAATTTTAATCCCTCAAATTGCTCTTATTTTAATCATTATGACTTATTTTATTAATGTGACATTCTTTATTCGTATTTTATTAATATATGATTAAAATAAAATTAGTTAAATTAAAATTTTAAAATTTTAATTTAATAAAAATAAGATTAACGAGTGCCACATCATACATAAATATTAATAAAAATAAGTCATGATGATTAAAATATGAGCAATTTAAGGGATTAAAATTGAAAACTTTTAAAGTTTAGTTATTAAAATAAGAATAATGAATGCCACATCATACATAAATATTATTATTTTTTTGATAGGAATTGAAAGTCTCGTTAAAAATTCCCTTCTTGATTAAAGGAGCTTGTAGAGATGCTCCTTAATCAGCGGAAGGAGGAAAAGAGTGCCTAAAGATTTCATTAACCAAAAGAAATTACATTTAAGGGATTAAAATTGAAAACTTTTAAGTTTAGTTATAAATAAGAATAATGAATGCCACATCATACATAAATATTATTTTTTTTGATAGGAATTGAAAGTCTCGTTAAAAATTCCCTTCTTGATTAAAGGAGCTTGTAGAGATGCTCCTTAATCAGCGGAAGGAGGAAAAGAGTGCCTAAAGATTTCATTAACCAAAGAAATTACATAAGAGCAATTTGATAATAAAAATAAGTCATGATGATTAACATAGAGCAATTTGAGGGATTAAAATTGAAATTTTTAAAAGTTTAGTGATTAAAATGGGAGAAAGAAGATAGTTGAGTGATGAATGATGTAATTTTCCATTTATAACAGCATTAAACAAAGTCAAAGGGTCACATTGAGTTATTTTTTGAGTTGAAGGGTCTAATTGATCGCTAAAAATATGATTTTGAGCTGCTTGATGTGCCACGTCAACACAAAGTAACAAAGACGTTGATTAACGACGAAAAATATTGGTTAAAGGGCTACATTGAATTCTTTTTTTAAGTTGGGTGAAAATTGAAAACTTTTAAAGTTTTAAAATTGAAAACTTTTAAACGTCGGTCAAACGTTGGATTAAATTGAAAACCTTTAAAGTTTAGTGATTAAAATGGGAGAAGAGATAGTTGAATGAATGGTTGTAATTTTTCATTTATACAGCATTAAACAGAGTAAAAGGGTCATTGAGTTATTTTGTGAGTAGGAGGGCCAAATTGATCGTTAAAATATGATGTGGGCTGCTTGAGTGCCGCGTTAGCACAAAGTAACGAAGACATTGGTTAACGACGAAAAATGTTGGTCAAATGGCTACATTGATTTTTTTTCAAATTGGAGGATCAGATTGATCCAAAAAAAATGATAGGGACCACATTGTTTTTTAAGTTCAAGGGCCTCTGATGCGTTTTTTCCTTTAAAAATAAAATAGTTAAATGACCAAACCAAAAGCATGGGAATATATAGCTAACCAAATAAGTAGTTTACCCAAAATCAAACTATGCATGAACCCGTTTCCTTCAAGCTGTGATTTAGAATCCGAATGTCGCAAACACCCGGCTCGGATCCGATCCACATTATGGTACAACTTATATAAAAAGATTTAATATAAAAATAAGTGTCTAAATTTTACAGTTTTTTCATTTAGGTGCTTAATTTCTTTTCGATTAATTTATGTGTCTAATATTTTTAACGTTATATTTTTAGGTGTTTTGTCCGTAACGAATGTTAAATTCCTTCGTTAAGTAACACTTGTCATGATTATGTAATTTTTAAATTTTTACTTTTCTAAAAATATAAATTTTTAAAATTTTATAAAGCTACATGTGTCATTTAATGATAAAATTTAATAGCAATAACGGTCGAGACAATTAAAAGTATAATACTAAAAATATTAGATATTTAGATTGGTTGAAAAACAATTTAGTAAATAAAAAGAATTATGTAAGCATTTATTTTTAGGGTAAATTACAAATTTATCATTAACTTTATCCTCTCTCCTATTTTGCTCACTAAACTTTAAAAAAATTCAATTTCTTCATTAAACTTAATACATTTGATTTTTTTGTCACTGAACTTTACTCTCTCTCTTATTTTGGTCACTCTATGTTAAATAGTTAACAATATTAAAAACGTCTCCATTTGAAAAAAAATAATTTTTTTACTAAAATGACATCATTTTGTATCTAAACAACCCATTAACACCGTTAACTATTTAACGATTGAATGACAAAAAAAATCTAATATATTAAATTCAGTGAAAAAATTGAAAAGATATAAAGTATAGTGAGTGAAATAGTATACATAGTAAAGTTAAGCTACCAAATTTGTAATTTACTCTTATTTTTATATTAAGTGTAAAAGGAAAATAGAAATGTGGGAAAGATATTATTAGTTGGCTAAGATTGGTTAGCTCAACGAACGCTTTCAAACGGTACAATTTCCCGTTCAAAGCATTCAAAAAACGAAAACAAACTAAAAAATCCAGGAAAACTTTCCCTTTTTCCTAGGGTTAGCTGATTCTCCAATTTCCTCTTCTGGTTTCAATCCATTTTCTTTAATTTCAACATTGGTTCCCTTCGACCCTTTCTTTGTAGTTCTTTAAGTGTTATACCTAACTGGTGGGAATACGCAACACAGGTGTCTGATTGAAGAAGAAAAGTAGTAATCTTGTTGAGTTTTCTTTAGAGGGTTCAAGCTTTGTCCTCAGGTGTTAAGATCTGAGGCTGTTCTTTTCTTTTGAGTGAAAAAAGAAGAAAGAAAGAAAAGAAAATGAGTGCTGCGAGGTTTATAAAGTGCGTGACTGTTGGTGATGGTGCCGTTGGTAAAACTTTTTTGCTGATTTCATACACAAGAAACACTTTTCCTACGGTAATTGTCTCTTCTCCTTCTTCTCTTTTAAAGTGACTTTTAACAAGAGGAAATTTTATGAATTGGTGAAGTGAAAGTAGGGTTTTTTGGGGGGTTTAATTTTCGAAGTTGCTGTTTTGCTGCCCGATATAACTTTCATGAGGATTTACTGGTTAAAGACTAGTTTTAGTGTTTGTTGAGCTGGTTTTATCGGTGAATTCGATTTGGGAAAAGCTTATTGAAATTCTAGGCCTTTATGGAATTCCATTTTCTGAAATTTGACAGAGCAACTTGAAGGAAAGGGGAAATTATGATAATGTCTAATTTAAGAAACAAACATGAAAAATCACTTAATTGTTACAATTGCTAAGTTTCAGGCCATTTAGTTTTGACAGTTGGGGGCTGATACTAAGAATGCTTTTACACTTTGTCTTACATTTTAACTGTGGTGGTAAACAGGACTATGTGCCCATTGTTTTTGACAATTTCAGTGCTAATTTTGTTGTTAATGTGAGTACTGTGAATCTGGGGTTGTGGGATACTGCAGGTACTTTGGACATGGACCTTTTGCTTTCTTTTTATCTCAACTCATTGTTAGAACCATTGTAGAGATTAGAAATAAGGGTTTAAGTTTGCAATTTTGGGGTACAGGACAGGAAGATTATAACAGATTAAGACCTCTGAGTTATCGTGGGGCGGATGTGTTCATATTGGCATTTTCCCTCATTAGCAAGGCCAGTTATCAAAAAGGTTAGGTGTAGTTTTTTAAAAAAAAAAATTTCAAAATTCAAACATAGAGAAGTGGTGTGTACATGGACTTTAAATTTATTTCTTGCTGGTAATCATGTTCTTCACGTTTTTCCAGTGGATTCCAGAGTTAAAACATTATGCCCTTGTGTTCCATAATTCTTGTTGGAACTAAGCTTGGTAAGTTAAAACATCAAATGCTGTAGCTGCTAAACTTTTCGTTCAAATAGCTACTTCCAAACAATGCTCTTGATTGTGAAGTTTTAGACTTTAGACACTGATGCCATGGTTAGATTAGGCTTTTAGTATTAGAATAATTTTTGCTTCTGGCTTTATGCTGGAAATTTTTAGTGAACCATAAATGACTTTGCTGGATCATTATGAACAATCCAATGATCCACACATGTATGTATTATGTGTGAATAGTGTTCATTTTATTTTTCGTGTTTTTCCAAATGAACCAGATCTACGGGATGATAAGCAGTTCTTTATCGATCATCCTGGAGCTGTACCCATTTCTACGGCCCGGGTAAAGGATTTTGTTTTAGTTCAGACTTTTCCCGTTGTATGGACTTGGACTTCTATGATTTGCAACTATCTAACCCTAACCTTTCCTTCCCTTTTTTTTCTCCTGAATCTGTAAGGGAGAGGAACTGAGGAAGCAGATTGTCTCACATGCTTATATTGAATGCAGTTCAAAAAACGCAGGAGGTAAGCATTGTTTTGTAAATATGATCATTCATACAAGGGAATATGCTTTATGTTTAAGAGATTCATTGACTTCTCCGCAGAATGTGAAGGCGGTTTTTGATGCAGCCATCAGAGTGTTTCTTCAACCACCCAAGCAAAAGAAAAAGAAGAGCAAAGCACAGAAGGCCTGCTCCATATTGTAACCGGAAAAAGAAAATGTGAAAAGATTACTAGAAGCCCCCCCTGGGAGTATAGTCTCTCTCGCGACTGACAATCCGGGATCTCTGTGAAGTATCTGTTGGTGTAGCGTATTACTGTATTGCAACTGTTCTGATATCGTATTGTTGAAACAAAGTACATGGATGCCATCGTTCTTTCGAATTTTTTTCGATATGCTTCTGTATTAATGCCACTGGAACATCCCGGTTAGGAATGCAGAGTCAATTGTAATATTATTGTTGTATTGTTTTTAAAAAGGCTCGTGTGTTTGTGCTTAGTTTCTTGCAACATTGTTGTTTCTAGTTTTATATAGATATAAGTTACTGAACCATTAATTTCCAAGTTAAATCAGAGTAATTTTTTAGTTTTTCTATAATATGATGATCATTTTTTTACAAATTAAAGTAAAAAGACTAATTTTATAATTTTCATAAAATAAAGGGATCAAATTTGTAATTAGGCCTGAATAAAATATGAATCGCGAGCATGGCCAAAAAAGGGACGGTGTAAATCCGATCGTATTAGACATCTAGAAAAGTCAAAGGCCGGGATCAAAGTACAACATAGAAATGCGTAGCACAGGATCACTTCGGGCGAAAGTGAGGCTCGAATGGCGTTTGGTTTACGAAACAGGTCAAAACGACCTCGATAACAATTAAGAAGCGTCTCCTAGTAAGAGAAAACGAGCAAATTAGGATTCAAAAAAGATCAGAACAATAGGGACCGTAAAGATGATCGCGGACGGTGTCGAAGACGAAGAGAAATGGCTGGCCGCCGGCATCGCCGGCCTCCAACAGAACGCTTTCTACATGCATCGCGCTTTGGTAACTCTCTTCTCAATTATTTTTGTTGTACGCCTTACATGGTTGAAGGGAAAGTGAGATTATCAGGGAAATCCTTACTTGCTTTGAGATTGTTACTTAGTTTGACCGTAGAACCCCTAGCTTTTTGCAAGTTAGTGAAAATTTGGCACGATTTGTGATTTTGTTAGGATTCGAACAATCTCAGAGATGCTTTGAAGTACTCTGCTCAGATGTTATCAGAACTTCGAACCTCAAGGCTTTCCCCTCACAAATACTACGAATTATGTTAGCTTCTCGCGAATCTGATCTCGATTTGTATTAGATTCATGAACTGATTGGTGGTAGATTTCGTTTCAACTGAGATTTTGAGTTTTTTGGTCGATTCAGATATGCGAGCATTTGATGAATTGAGAAAGGTGGAAATGTTTTTTAAGGAAGAGACAAGGCGTGGTTGCTCTATTGTCGATCTATATGAGCTAGTACAGCATGCTAGCAATATATTGCCTAGATTGTAAGTACAGCTAACTTTCAAACTGTTTAATGTGTGCTTGCTCACTTCAGCTAGTGTACCAATAGGTTGCTGGTTATTTTCTTGTGTAATTCATTTTAGCAAGTGTATGCAGTGGATTTAAAAGCTTTTCTGTGAGTTCTATTATGGTAAATGGTTATATTTTATTTAGGGAAATTTTCATTAACCCAGGTCCTAGATATATGTAATGTACTATTGGTGAGTGCATCCTGTTTGGTTCATCTGTAAGAGGCGTGAAATGGTTCCTTCTGGCACATATGTCGCATCCAAGTATGTAACAAGAAAAGCACGTTCAAGTAGCATAACTATTTTAATAACTTGCTTGAGCAATTTAGCTTGAGATACCTAAAATTGAGAATCTCTTGGGTTAACTTACCTTTTAAATTTGTATTTAACATGTTAAGTCTTGTGATCTATGCCAGGTATCTCCTCTGTACCGCAGGCTCTGTTTATATCAAATCTAAGGAAGCTCCTGCTAAGGATCTTCTTAAAGATCTTGTTGAAATGTGTCGTGGAATTCAGCATCCTGTACATGGCCTCTTTCTTAGGAGTTACCTGGCCCAAGTTAGCAGGGATAAATTGCCTGACGTAGGTTCTGAGTATGAAGGGTGAGAAATCAAGTGTTCCATTGCCCCCCATTTTTTGGAAAAGAGTGATTCACTAGCTAATTCTATATTTTCTTTCTAGTTATGTTTTTTCCCATCTTCTATGTTTGAATCTCCATCCATATAAAAAAACCTAAATTTGAGTGTTGACCTCTATTGTTTATTCTTTATTTTATGCTGGTATGCTACTCCTTTCACTCGACATATGTGCACCAAATTGATTAACTAAATTATTAACCATGTCAATCCTGCTATGATTTTGGGTATGATCTGATCAAATAAGTTGGTTAATAGATAAGCAATCCTTTTTTCAACCTTTAAGCTGGTTCTCTGTTGAGATTGCCTGACCATTAGTTAACTTTCTCGATTCCTTCAGGGATGCAGACTCTGTTGTGGATGCTGTAGAATTTGTGCTTCAAAACTTTACAGAGATGAACAAGTTGTGGGTGCGGATGCAGCATCAGGTTAGTTGACTTGTATCAATGGTCTGTTCCTGCTCTCATGTTTGGCATGCATGTATCACAAAAATGCTTGCATGATATGGAGGTAAAACTATATCATCAGGGCATGATTTCTGGTCATGCAGGTGTTTAATGCTTGTCAATCATTCATACTCTTTGCTGATCTGAATTGAGGCTTGCTGTCGGGCTTTCTGGTCTGCAGGGACCTGCCCGAGAAAAGGAGAAACGGGAGAAAGAAAGGAGCGAACTAAGAGATCTTGTAATATCTGTGACCCAAAACTGGTAAATTTCACTGCAATAATGTTGAGTGATAGTGAAGGATGCGAAGGGTTTTTCCTCTCCCTTGCTTGCTCTTTGATTTTTATTTAGGTTGGGAAGAATCTTCATGTGCTCAGTCAGATAGAGGGTATTGACCTTGATATGTACAAAGATACTGTTCTTCCCCGTGTACTTGAACAGGTGGGTGTTATGCACATCAACAAATGTGGTTTATCTCACTCCATGTTCTGTCTTCGAGCTTATATTATGTAACTTATGAATAGGTGCTTCTGTTATTGTCTTAGTTCATTGAGTTTCTTCGTAAGTTGCATAACTAAATATCTCTTGTTGTTCCTAGTGTGTGGATCACATGGATGTATGATTCTCCGCTTAATAGTTATGATATAAAGCTACAACTTAAGCACACCCTATAAGTTCTGAACTCTGTTCTTCCTTTTGTTTTTCAGCAGCTGTTGACATTAAAACTGTGCTATCTCGATTAATGGAAAGGCTATCAAATTATGCTGCTTCAAGTGCAGATGTGTTGCCTGAGTTCCTGCAAGTAGAAGCTTTTGCAAAGTTAATAATGCCATTGGAAAGGTAAAATTTGTTTACAGAGATAATTCTTAGCTTAACCTATATTAATGGTTCTAATAATGTAATTTTTTCCTATGATGCAGGTGATTGAAGCACAGATATGCCTATCCTTGGTGTGATAACTTTATTCGTCTTCTTACTTTACTCTCCATGTTCATCCAGACCGACTTGATTATGCTGATCAAGTTTTGGTAAGCTACTGTCTTAAAACTATATTGTGTATATTCAGATATGGTTTACTATTTTATAGCTTATAAACGAAGATCCATTTGTACACAATCGATTTTGTTTCCCAAATGTTAAATCATCAAGGTATGCCTATGAAATTAAATTTTTGCGGTGTGGTGCACTGCTTACCTAATCGCTTTGTGTTATAAAGAGAGAGCTATTTGATCATTTGTTCCTACTGCCATTTGTTTTCACAGAAATAGAAATCAGCAAAGAGGTAACTGACATTGTTCTTATTCAGGGAGCATGCGTTAAAAAACTCTCTAGCAAAGGAAAGCTTGAAGACAAAGAAACAAAACAGATTGTTGCGCTTGAGTGCTCCACTTGACAAATATAATGACATTGTTACAACATTGAAGCTTTCAAATTATCCTCGTGTTTTGGAGTACCTTGACACTGAAACAAATAAAGTCATGGCAACTGTGATAATTCAAAGCATTATGAAGAACAAAACTCGTCTCTACTGCTGACAGGGTATGTTTGTAATTACGTTGTTTTCCAATTTGAGCTTGCTTTTAGTTGAACAGGTGTCTTGATCTTGTTAGTTTATGTGACAGGTGGAGGCGTTGTTTGAATTGATAAAAGGTCTTATTAAGGATCTGGTGCTGTTCATGATGAGGTTGTTATGCTTTATTCATCTTCATATGCATAGTTTCAAATGTTTAATGGTTAGCATGTTCATCAATATGCATGACAATTTTTAATCTTACATTTAGGTTGATGAAGATGATTTCAAGGAGGAACAAAATTCTGTAGCACGTCTTATTCAGTTGTTGCATAATGATGTCCCTGAAGAGATGTTTAAGGTACTTGATTGAGTGAAAGCATTTTTGTTCTCACAGCACTATTGATACCGTTTGTATTAGTTAGTCATATAGTTCAAGTGCATCTACTGGGTTTTTCTCATGAACCTTTTATTTGTGCATTCAATTTGATAATTTGCAGATATATGCACGGTGAGGAAGCATATCATGGGTGGAGGACCAAAACGCCTACCTTTCACTGTCCCTCCCTTGTTTCTCTTCACTTAAGGTTGTTTCCATATTGCATGTTTGGCTATAGAATGTTGTGAAATTAAAAATGAAGACTGAAGAAATATTCTTGTTGGTATCTAAGTAGATAATGGCATGTATTTGAGTATATAATGCCAGCTTTGTGACTTATCATTGCTGCACTTTAATAAGATTTTAAGAATTGTCTAATGAAATGGATCATCTACGAAGAATAAAATTCTGGTATTAGAAATTTTAAATGGAAATTTTATTTTAACTATTTTGCAATTGTGAATATACCTTACAGTTTCTATCTTTAAATCCTGCACTATTAAAATAGAAATTATTCGCCCTTCACCTGCTACTTTTTCCATTTCTTTAGCCTGGACTGCAGTAGTATAGAGTTAACATGAATTTTTTTTTATTCCTCACACCATTGATGGCCCTTTCTTGTAATGAATTAACCATAAATTTTTTGCTGTTAGTTGGTTCGGAAACTACAAGGTCAAGA